GCAAAACGAGCGGAGCGAGTTCCCGCAACATGAACGACTTACACAAAACGGCATTTTGTAACGTGTTTATATACAAGATTTTTTCTAATTTTGACTTGATTATTTATAAAATTGTGTTGAAAAATGATTCACCATCATTCTTGTGTAGGTACTTCCAATCAAATATTTTAGAAAATTGTTGTATTTGATTGCCCTACGACGTTTTTTTTCAATAGTAATAATAAAAATTAGGGACATGTGCAGTGTTGCCGATCTAATTTTTGACATTACCCGCGAGAAATTTGAAAAAAAAAACATGTTTACCCATTATCCTTAAAGAAGTACGTCAAAATTTTACCCCCAACATTTCTGGGCAGTTTTCAATAACGGTGTTATTTTAAAAATTAAACGCAATTTACAGCTTTTCTTTTTTGTTTTCTATTTTGTTTTTAAACGTAATGTCATATTTTCAAATGTGAACTGTCACTATTCATTGCCTCTTTTTCGATATTTGGTTTTTTCGATTTTTCGTTTTTTGGATTTTTGGATTTTTCGATTTTTTATTTTTAGATTTTTAGATTTTTCGATTACTCGATTTTTCGATTTCTCAATTTTTCGATTTCACGATTTTTCGATTTTTCAACTTAGAAACCAAAAAAGAGGCAGTTTTATTTATTTTCATTTCGTAACTGGTGACATAATCATCTTTTCGTAATCAGTTGCATAATTTTCTACTTTATGCAAATGTCCATATAAATATTCATTAAATCTATTTAAGCCAAAAATTATTGCAAGGACCTCTCTTTCAATTTGGGAATATTTTTGTTCGGACTTTGATAAGGTAGAAGCTATAGAATTTTCAATATTTTTTTTTTTTTTCAAAAACATGACATATTATTATCATGGCCCTTATTGCCACATTTGATGCATCTACGAATAATTTAATCGGAAACTCAGGCTGAAAATGCACAAGAGCATCATTTATTTTTGATTTATTCCAAAGATTCCTTGCAAAAATTATCCCAAATCCATTTCACCCATAAAAAATTAAATAAAAAAAAGTCTTAAAGCAAAATCATATCCTCCTTCCTGTTAGTGACTTAAAAAAATTACTTCCCAAAAAACGGTCCTCAAGCCAGGTCCCTCCATTTTGTGGCGATAGTACTGTTTTTTTAATGTGATTATTTTCTTCGCGGAAACTTTGGCTTTACACTTTGAGTAACACTGTTATAGAGAATTAGGTACTAAATAAATAGTTTTGAGAAAACTATTGAAACCAGTTGTGAAGTTTGAAACGAATAAATTGGCAATGAAATTGATATTTTTGTATTTGATTGTATGTTTCTCTTTTCACTTCATAAAAAAAGATTCCCTATGAAACAAGAAATAGTAAACAGTTTATAATAATAACCTTTATTTGCTACTTATAACATGTACCAATGACCAAGTCCGATTTTGTTTATTTTCAAATCAACAAATATGGACGTCGACAGAATCTTTAAAAATTAAATATCTCACCGAAATAAATATAAGTTTCTTTTATCTCCGTCACATTTCGCAGGTTTATTATAAATAAAGCTTTTTACAACACATCTTGGCATTTTCAACGTTAATTTCCAAAATTTAAGTCACTAAAATACCAAATTAATTCTCGTTGACACATTAAATTTGGATGGACAACGGTCTGACATGTGATGTTCTCAACTGTGATTGGTGGGTGTGAATCATTTTGAAATGGGATTATGCGCAGTGTCTTATGTTCCATCTAAGGTTTGTATAATCTAAGGTTTCTCTGTACACACTAAGACACGCTGCTTTTTCGGATCTCTCGTGACGTAAAAAACACTTGAAATGGCCGCACCAAACATCGTGCCTTGGAGTAGAAAAAAAAATAAATAAAAAAAAAATAAAAATAAATAAGCAAAAAATAAAATGATAAAACTAAACAAGTATATTATCAAAATGCTAAAACTATTAACCCTCTACTGCATGATTTATTTTATATGCTGAAAAAAATTATCTAAATATGTGGAAACGTCTTTATTACCTCTATTTAAGGGAATAATGTAAAAAAACACATTTTTTGTTAATCTAAAGCCATATATGGCTTCGTATGCATAAAAACAATAAATGCCATATATGGCTTTCTATACAACATAATTATAAATGAAAGTTCAAACAACAATTTCTGTCTTTGTTGAGACAAAGAAACGTGTTGCATTTTCTACATGAAATGAATGATCGGAATTTACAATTGTTTTGACACAACATTCTTGATACGTTCCATATAGGAAGATGTCCTACAGAATCTACCCGCACTGCATTTAGTGGAAAATCTTGTCTCCTTCGTGAACATTTTCTAACTTTTTTGGATGGCGATATATCAGCATTTGTAGGTGTGCCAACACGTCCATTTGTACGTGTGCCAACACCTCCATTTGTAGGTGTGCCAACACGTCCATTTGTAGGTGTGCCAGTACGACTTGAACTCGGATTTACCAAAGTGGATGGTCGCTTTCTTTTTTCTGTACACTTTTGCCCACTTTACAAAGGTGTTCGGCTACACATTGCTTGAAGTCAAATAACGGTAAATATTCTCCAGTTTTGCGTCGCCACAAAATCCAGGCGTTTACAATACTCATGTCCAATAGATGAAAAAAAATTCTCATGTACCATCTTTTGGAACGCAGTTTAATTCTGTACAAACCTAACATGGAGTCTAGTAAATCGACACCTCCCATATATTTATTATAAATATCAATCGCCTTAGGACAACGGATGGTTATGTACTCCTTATCTTTTCTAGAATACCGTTCGTTTATAGTTTCTGGACAGCTGCCAACAAATGTAGATAACATAGTAACTAATTTGTTGTCGAACCAAGCAACACAGGAAACTTCAACCTCATCTATAATTGCAGTTTTTTCTATCATGCTTCCTCTACCTTTTGCTTTCATTTCCTTCTCCTAGGGCATTATACAGTCAGTTACACGACCTGGTCTTGTGGTGCCCAAAGATAACAAACCAATTTTCGACAGATGAACTTGTAGCATTGGACTATTGGACCAATTGTCGAAAAATATTTTGTGGTTCTTATTTTGTGGTACAGCAGAAGTAAGTCGTGTTACTACATTTCCACTCGCTCCCAAGTCAGGTGCTCCATCTGGAAACGTATTACTTTGCTCTCCGGCGAAAATATCAAAGTCATAGCTGAATCCAGATGAACCACTTAAAACTAGATTTTTGTATCCCCACTTATGGGGTTTTTTCGGGTTATACTGTTTTAGCTGGTGTCTTCCTTTAGTTGGAATTATTTGTTCATCGACTGATAAAAACTCTTCTTTAGGCACCATGAGCAGTTGTCTTCGAATTTTATCTAATAGGGATCTAACTTTGAACAATTTATCATGTCCAGGGAGGCCAAAGCGAATAAATTTTGAATTATCATTAAAATGGAGAAAACGTTTAATTTCCTCCCATCTATTGCACGTCATGGTCTCAAAAATGAGTGGTTGACCCAAACTTGTACTCCAGTATTGCCTACTTGATGGTAATTTTATTAGAGACATGTATACAGTTATACCAATGAACTGTTCTAATTCTTGTTTAGTTATGTTGGCTGGCTTGTTTACATTGTCTTGCACAGTCCTTTGCATGAGTTTCCAGTGAGTCAAAACATTCTGGCAACTTAGTATCACTAAGAAATGGATACTGCTCTTCATCATACTCTTTCAGCTTCTTTTCTGTCCAAATCGTTGTAGGTCTCTTAGGTTTTATAGTTCTTTTAGGAATAGATTGTTTAGATGGACGTTTTCCTTTCAAATATGTTTTCTTTACTGGTTTGGGAATGTTTTCTTTGTGTGATGATGTTGAAGTAAATTCATCATCTGTTTCTACTTCAGTATCAGATATTTCCTCAATATTTCTATTATTTGAATCATGTTGAGGCGGCAAATAGTCACTGTCATAGTCTGATATTATGTCATCTTCACTGGAGCCCCCATCTCCTGGGATGTTATCGACAAATCGAGAACTATTGTAAAATTGTTTCGCCATACCTGTAAAAAAATACGTTTATAAAACATACCCGTATTGCATAGGAATCCAAATATGGCTAATGAAATAAATGGTAAAATTTCCCAAAGTGCATATAAAGCCATATATGGCTTTTACACAAAAGTCGTTTTTTTACAAAAAAAAACAGAAATAAATAATTGTTATGTTGCCAAATTTATAAATAAATAAATAAATAAATAAACGAGAATCTGGTGGGAATAATGATTTGCCACATAAAAATGTAAACAATTTGGTCTCTTAGTTGTAATGTCTCTGCTCTCTGTAATCTAACAGAACAAGACATAGACGAGGTCCTATATTTAAAATTAATATTTAAGGAAATTCAAGAAGAAACTTACATTTATGTAGCAAAAGATCTACATCATAGAGATTGAATTTGTATATTATACAATTTTGATTTGATGTTTTTGGCAGTACATTTATTTTTCAGATATCGGTATTCTTTATATAATGTCGCACTATGTACTAATTTAGATTTAGTTTTTCCCGTAGCGCCCTTCAAATAGACATGGTTCAATTATTACATGAATAGCATGGGTTCGACCTCTTTAATATATGCAACAAGTGTTCAGGAAGTCCTTAAAATGGGTAACACAAAAAGTTAATTGGTGCGTATCTAATTTATTTTTTAAGGTATTAAATCGGGTTATGGAAAACGCATTTTACAGTTGAAAGCGCAATGGTGGAAGTAACGAAAATATTATATATCTACCCGCTAAACTGAGTTTTGTTAGAATTTTCTAAAGATGAATAATTAGTAAAATGCAGTATTTTGTATCAAATTTTGTTTGCACTCTTTTTAAACGTGACAGAGCTAATATTGATATCACAATGATTCATATACATTCCTGGGAAATCGCAATTTTGTAATAATTCATAGTATAATCCGAACAAACAATAATCGTCATATTATTAAATTTTTAATGACAATTTATTTTTTTCAGAACCGGACGGATACGGACCATTATAGTTACGCCTGTGACCATAACTGCTTTATAGAACAGGTAAGTCCTGACCTACTACTACCTGTTACCACTTCCTGATGAACGTCTTCAACCGTGGAAGAAACATTTCCCCTTGAAGTTCATTAATTTCATGGAATTATATTTTGAGGGGTTGTTATTAGTTCTTTGATGCATCTCGGAACAACAGCTGTAGTTGTAGTAAAGGAAGATATAGTGTAAATCGGGGTAATAATGACCGCTTAAGAAAAATGTAGTACTATATCGTATTATACTGTTATTTTCAAAATTAATATACGTAATAACAGACGAAACTAATTTGAAACGAACCTACTTAAAAATTAATTATTTTAATTATTTTTTGTTATAATTGACAAAACAAAAGTTTCAAATTGATAGGAATTAGGTAACTGAATATTTGGGTAATTCTGGTTTCATAATAGGGGAATTATAGTCATTTATTATGTTGGAATAAAATTCAATAAAAACATCAACTTAATTCATCGAAACAAAATCAGTACAAAAATATAGGTATAAATATCAATTGTCGAAAACATATCCTTCTGGAGAATCACGTCCCAAGCATTTTTTATGTACCTAATTGCCACAATTGGTGCAGCGGTATCAAGTTTCACCGTCCTCACCGAATTCTTTGCAAATACAACAAATGCTTCTATATCATTATCGAAGCTGAAATCGTTATCACAAGTCGTGAAATATTCACGTCAAAACTAGCAGATCTTTCTGGATCAGATGCTATTCCCGTTTGCGATTGAAATTAATTTTCGCGGACCTGTCATTTGTCACCTGTAGGATATTTGTTTATTTACATTGTGGTATTTTTAGATGATTAAAGAATAAAACACTTCATATAAACAACTTACCTTCAAATGCAAAGAACATACTTGAATTGAGGTAGAAGGTTTTTAATATTTTAAAACAAAATTTCCTGATATTTAAAAAAAAAACAATATAATTAAATCGGTTTTATAAAAATGTAGACGCTAGACGACATACTCTAAAAAAAAACGGAGTCCCACAAGGACAAATAACGTCCAACTACTTGTAAATAATAAAGTAGAAATAGGTTGAATGGGATAATAAACCTTTAGAGGAAATTTTAATTTGTGTTACTGCATTCTGGAAAGTGGCTATTTTTAAATGTTATTGTTAGGGCTTGTATATATATTTTTTATTATTTGTAAATACAGTGTTTTAACTTCGTCTATCTTATTCAGGTACTTTTATTTTTTAATAATGGGTTAATAAATAAAATTTTCACAGATTTTACATTTTTGTTTGAATAGAATTATTATAATCTCTAAAATGTAATAAATTATAAAAAAGCAAACAGTTTATTAAATTATTAGGCATTTAGTCTTACAAAATGAATTCTTTGAATTTAACAATACCACTAATTTTCACAGAAATGTAAATGGTTTAAATATCATAGAGGATTTTAAAAACACTGTTGAGCAATCCCAAATATACCTTCGGTTTATTTTCAATTATTTTGGGAGTTCATTGTTTTTGAAAATCCTGCTCATTATTATTTATTAAATAGAGACGAAAAACGCTTCAGAAGACTTTTTTTTGAATCTGTGAGCTGGCTCTTGCGTGGTGAATAACAAAAACTTTGGAGACATTTGTGTAGACCTACCCACTTCTTAATATATAAGGGTTTATCCATCATTTAACGTCGCATGCAATAAACACTTACTTTTTGCACTTGTTGCATAAATAACTATTACTTTAAAAATAAACAAAATAAAACGTAATTTAAAAATAAGGTGTATTGATGTACGTTTTAAATAGGACGGCTGAAAGTTTTCAGGGTTGACGTCACGCCGCGCTGGACTCAGTAGAAATTGAATGAATTCGGCTATCCTCATTTGTTGATATAGTCATTGACTTTGGTTGACAATTCATTTATCAGACTAATTAATTCTCTTGTTTGAAAGTTTAAAAACTTTTGGATAACCCAAAATAATGATTGTTTATTACTTTATAGATGAAGTAATATTAATATTTAGTTAATATGTACAATTTAACCAAAATGGATAAAAAAATCAATGGATGTGACTGGAAACCAAAAGTTTTTAAGGAAAAGCAACGAAATAAATTAATAAAAGTAGTGTTTTTTTAAGTGATTGGAAATAAAATACTTTGTGGGGTTTCCGGTGTTATATTTAAAAAGTATTATTTTTCCTAATGCCTAAAATGTGAATATAAAAAAATTGTATTATTAAGAAAAATATATTATTATATTCACCTTTTCATGCATTGTTTTAATATGTATTCGATACCTGATCGATTCTCTCAATTATTAATCTAAATTTTGTTATAAATTGAAATGTTTGGCAAGCTTGCTTATGCTTTCGAAAATCAAAAAATCTTAGGTTAGAATCACCTAAATTCGCAAACGAACGTATATTACTTCTCGGATACCGTCTTTATCGGCAACGTTGTGTCGCCAGTTCCTATTGGTCTATGAATAGATAAAAAAACATTTAAATGTAGCTTTTAATTCATAAAAAAAATTAAAAATTTTTGAACATGCCCTATTAAACATAGCACTGTAAATTTAACCGGTTCTATGCTGAGCTTTTTTTGATTTTCTTCAATCTGTTGAAGAAGTGATATTTGGTGGTTCCCCACTGACTGTCATTACCACGGCTTACCCTATTATATGTGTAGGTATTTATTAAAATACCCACTAAAGAGAGTCCATTTAATCGGGTTTGTAACAAAGCATTTTTCAATTATTCGTATGTTTAACGAATTTTCATCTGACAGTTTTAATTTTCATTGGTGAAAAAAAACGATATTCAACTGTCATGAAAATTCCTAAGCCGTCTCTGTCTAGGCGACCTTCGCTTGCCACCCGACTCATGCTCGAAACGACGGAATCTTCTAGGAATGCCACTGACGCTCGAGAAACGGCCAGAACGGGCGATGCGTGCCGTTGAATCAGAGATGGAATTTTCGGGAGCTTCTAGAGACTTCTCGTAGCAGAGTTGGACTTGATATAAATCTCCGACTTATCGGCGATCTGTTTAGTTTAGTAAAAAGTATTGGACTGAAAAGTTAAATTGTAGTAAATAAATTAGAATTGTGAGTTAGTGCCTAAGTGTTATATAAATTAATTAGTATATCATAAATAAATTGTAAATAGTGTGTTTTAAATAAATAAAGTATAAATAAATTAGACTATCGTCACACAACGCTTCCACTAAGAACGATATCCTCACCTTTTTGTTTTCTGTCGCCATTATTGTAAGGTGAGAGGATAAGTTTACTATTGGTGATCTTTTAAAATTTAAATTCAACAAATATAAAAGTGATTTTTATTTTAATATGGTTCAGAATTCCATAAAATAAACAAATATGTCAAGTAACTTTCTTTCAATTACTCTAAAATTAGAGATATATGTCCCTTATCCATTATCAACCTTCTTTTCTGTATAACTTTTGAAACACACGGTATATAAGCGAAACGTAATTAAAGTAACTTAAAAATCTAAACATAATCCTGCCAGAACATGAACTAAGTTATCGACGCAAATATTTTCTAGTAGGCTAAAAAATATTTTGCGGCTCACCTTAAGTATAGAATAGTGTATATTCCAATAAAAAACATATTAATATTCTTTCAAAAAAATTATATAAATATTCTGTTAAACTCGGAAATAAGGGGCATAACAATAGAATGACATAACTTTCGCAGATGTCTTCAATGAAAAATGAAAAAATAAGTGTGGATCTTTTAGTAGGCGTCGAGCGTGTCTTTAGCAGCTCAGCCTGTTAGATTGAATTATTAGATGTAATGAGTGTACAAAATGTCCTCGCACAAAGTGTTTTATCACTGTTACTTGCCATTAGCCTATTTGTGACCTTTTGTGTGTTTTATGGAATACGAGGCGACAGGAAATTGGCGACATTTTTTCAATGAAATAACAGGAAATGAACCTTTCAATATTACCTAATTGTTTCATTCATGACTGTTTATTAGTTCTATATTTTTGTATTCATCTAAAAGCTTGATATAGTAGCCTTTAAAAAATGTGTTTCAAATCTCAATTATTGCTTTAATTTTGTACTGCGTTAATGTTAATAACTAAGTTGATACTTCTGTCAGGTGCTTGTATTGCACAACAACCTTGACAATGAACCTACCAAAATTAGCTGATTACTAAAATAATGTATGTATTACCTATTAATTTACTTTCTTTACAAGGGTGTTGTACGACAAAAATATTAGATTTGTATTCATTATTCATTATTATTTTAAGACGAAAACAATGTTTCTAAAGTGGCCATAAACGACATGTAGAAAATAGTCCAAAAATGATATAAATTACCAGTAAATAACAATAAAACATTAGAATTTTTTAAAATCGAATATACGAAGTAGAATATTTTATATCAACTCGCTTTTTCATTCGGTGACGTCACTTCGTCCTTAGCAACGGGGATGAGGCCACCGTATTGTCTACGAACCGTGGGGTTAGCCGCCTCAGTATATCCATAACAAACCCATTTATAAGCTCCAAGTTATGGAGTGTAAAAAATGGGGGACAACTCAAAAAGTGCCTACCCAAAGGCAATAAAGAAGGGTTCTGAATGTGACCAGAATGGCGCTTGATCAATTAATTACAAATACACAAAGAATTTTATAAACTATTTTTATTTTATTAAAACATAATTCTATAAATATTTAATTTCAAAAAGAACAATAAAAAGTCTGGTCAATAAAATTAAAATTAACATTTTGCATAAAATATATAAGAAGTACCAGTACTACATTAATAACTAAACTAACTACAACTTCACTTCACAACATATTGGGAAACAATCAAAAAGTGTACTTTGAAGTATACTATATGACTGAGCAATTTATATTAAACTATAGATATCATTGGTTTAATTGCGTGATCTGAATACGCCATTAAAGTGTGACGAAATTTTGGTTTCACTGACACTTAATTCTAACCATTCTGTTAACAATATTTGATATATACATTTTGACTGTTTTAATTTTT